TCGCATTACGAAATGATGTCCTTCTTCGGCTTCGGCCGCCCATCGCGCGAGGAACGCGAGCGCGAGCCTCTACTGCCGCGTTACAATGACGACACAGCCTTGCAGCAGCGCCTGCACGAGAAACTGCACACGTACCAGATGCTTCGTGCCATCGGGAAGGGTTACATGCCATCCAATGAACAGCTTATTGTCAACCTGCGCAGTCTACTGTCTGCTGACGTCCTCAACCCTGATACCCCCGACCTCAGCGACTCTGGGCGAGCCCTGGTTCTCAACGTCAAGCTTTTGATCAAGCAACTTATCGAGCTACTATTACACAAGAACGATAAGGACCAGATCCAAGATTTCATCTGGTATCTCACCAAGGCTCGTCTGTCAGTTGACGCGTACGACATTGGTGCACGAGCATCCAAGGCAAAGGCCAGAGCCGACACTGTAGCAGGTGGGTCGTCTCTATTTTATTAATACCAGCAACCCCACGTCGGCTCCTACCAAGGAAAGAAAGTTTGTTCAGAGTTTAAACTGACAATTGCCAAGCGTACAAAAGCTTACAAACGGTGGGTTCCTTGATATTAACCAACTCGGATTTTCGCCTGCTACTTTCGGATCTGAGCACTATTGGTCGAGAGGTCTTCCGCGATACTGCGTTCACCCTGTCGGACGTCTCGAAGCAAGCGGCCAAGAATATCGAGCCCTCAAAAGAGGAAGAAGAAGCCGTCAAGCATCCCAACGGGGACTCGAAGCCTCCCCCGACTAAGGACGATTTGGAAGATGAGGTCGTCGACATCGCAAAGGTTGTCACTGACGGCGTCGCCCGTGTCGCTGACGAAGCGGGCCAGAGCCTGACGGACCATGTCACCGGCGAGGAACAAGAGACCTTGGTACACAGGCTCAAGAGCACCATTGTCAATTTGCGAGAGAGAAAAGACTACTCCGACTCGGTATCGACTCTCTCATTACTCATCCGGCGATATTTGTTGGCCTATTCGCACGCAGTTTCCGATACCATCCAGGTCGCTCGAGAAGACATCGACACCAATCCAGAGGCTGATCGTGCACTCCACAATTTCTGGCTGTTCTTGACGTCTTTGGGTAACCGTGAGCACTGGAATGATGTTGAGGTCCAGTTCAAGGCGGTCATGGAACATGGCCACAGCGATCCAGAATTTGACAATCTTGTCAGACAGATCGGCAATCTGCTCCAGGACATACTGACGGACCCTGACTTCTTCGATCACGCCGAGGACCGCTTCAAGGAACTGAGAGCCAAGTCGAGACAGTTGACATCCGAGTCCTCAATACGCGATGATCTTGATGCGTTGCTGGAGAAGGTCTATCTTGCTCTGAATTCTGTGCTTCAGGACACAGATATTAAGAAGGCCATGAACACCACCACAAGAATCTTGCGAATTCTGTCGCCTGCACATCAGTACACCAACGGCGAATTGGTGGCAGACTCCATCAACGTCTTCATACCCATGGTAGTGCAGGCAATTCAGTACATCCCGATTCCTCGGGTGGAAGTATCGGCGCCGGCTATTGATCTCCTTTTAGAGAACCTTATCTTGGAGCCCGGGCGCACCGTCAACAACAGCTCCTTCTTACCATTCAAGATCAATATCTCCACACAGAATGATGTCGAGATCCGCAAGGCACGCTTCCGCACCACGTCTTCGGTGAAGACTCTCATGAGGATCACGGTATCAGGCCTGTCGATTGCAGCCGAAGACCTCGGATATTGGCTGCGCCTCCACTCGGGAATATTGAGGTTGGCAGACGCTGGCATTGCGGGCTTTTACCTGGATGAGCGTGGTATCGATGTTGCTATTGATGTGGAGGTTGGAAAGGAGCGGCTTGAGGACATATTGACGCTGCACAATGTCCGTGTTCGCATCCACCATCTCAATTACAGCCTCCGAAAGAGCAAGTTTTCCTGGCTCGCTTGGCTACTCAAGCCTCTGATTCGGCCAACGGTCAAGGCCGCATTGGAAGCCCAGATTGCGGCCAGCATTGGCGAGCTGCTTCATTTCGCCAACAGAGAACTCCTCTTTGCACGCGAACGATTGAGGGCCACTCGTATTGCCGACCCGCAGGATATGTGGACATTCCTCAAAGCTGTGGCGGCCAGGCTGGTGCCCCCCGAGGACCCCGATCTGTACACCCGTGTGGGTGTCGCGCAGCCTGGACGGGGAGTCTTCAAGGGTGTATATGCCCCTGGTAGTCTCGTCAAAATGTGGAACGAAGAGGCTGCGCTGGCAGGCGACAGAGTGCACGAGTATCAACAAGACGGGTGGCGCAATTCCATCTTTGATGTCGGAACAACAGGCACAACGCTTTAATGTTGCACCGAGTGCTGCGCGCGCGGGTAAAATGGCGCAGTCGCTGTTACGCCAAGGGGAGCACAACGATTAAGGCAGCCAAGGATGAGAGCGAAACAAGACCAGGCACGGTATGGACTCGAAACTGCTCTTTTTTTTTTTTTTTTTGCTCCATTTCAATGTATTTCTAGAGGCAATAACACATGCAGGGAGTAACAGGACCTACCTAGGCGAAAATGGCAAGTAGTATGAATCCAAGGTTACCTTACGAAAACGATCATTTGCATATGGGCTTGGGTACACTACTGAAGAATCATTCGGGTGGTGGGTTAGACTACGGATGGCACTGTAACCATCTAACGCGCTGCACACTGCACGCCACGCAGATCACAGCAACATTCGGCGCAAAAGTTCCTCCTTGCTCACATAACCGCCCTCCCTGAACAAGTTGATAGGGGTGCAGTGACATCGACACGCCATCCGAATCGAGGAGGTGCACACTATCACGATATCGATGCCAAGAGTGCATGATGGACTTGTAAAGTGCAATCATTGCAGTCGCTCTCTTTTTGCTTCCGAAATCCAAGGCGACGTGGCACGGTGGCATTTCAAACAAAGTTCGATTCATCAGCTGCCGTATCTAGTAGAGTTTGCTGCCCAGCATCACTACGAATATGGTCTCCGACCATCAGTAATCAACGAGTCAACAACGATCGATAAGCCCGAGGCGCGTGGAATCCACGGACTCGAGTAGAGTAGTTGGATCGAGTCACCCGAGCGTACGGAGTCTACCGATTACCTTATAGTGCGTATGATGACCATGCAGCGCGGTACCCGGCGCGTGACATTTGCTGCGGTTCTCTCCCGAAAGTTACGTACGGGCCACCCGAAACCTACGTGTGCTTGAAGTCGGGACGTCGCTTTTGCAGGAATGCGGTCATTCCTTCATTGAAATCGCCAAGGCTGAAAGTCGAGTAGTAAAGAGATTTCTCCATGGTCATCCCGGCATCAAGATGGCTATTCTCGACTGTAGCAGGGTTAGCGAGTCAGAACACGGGGTCCGCACAGGGGCCCGCCCCCTCGATCCCTTGGTGGGATCCGGAGCCACCCCGTAGTAGCGGTTTTGGAGCCGGAGCAGCCCACCTGTGAGAACGGCTTGCTTCGCAGTTTTGGTCACGGGGCCCGACATGACGGCGATGCGCTCAGCGAGCTTCATGGCGGCTGGCACGACCTCTTGACGTGGGAACACCTTGTTGACCACGCCGAGACGCTCAAACTCGGCACCGCTGGCTGAGTCGCCGGTAAGGACGAACTCCATGGCCTATAGCTGGTCAGTTCACCGGTTTCAAGGTGAGAGCGAAGATTTCGGCTGTTCAAGTCGGCCAGCACGAGTCAATCGGCTGGGTTTGGCTACTCACCTTGTGCTTGCCCAGCGCACGAGCTAGACGCTGAGTGCCGCCCGCGCCTGGAATCGTTCCGATCTTGATTTCTGGGAGTCCGAACGAAGCATCTTCGGCGGCGTAGATCATGTCGCACTGATCGTGAAGGGTCAGCCGTTTGGGTTTTACCTCGCAGAAACATGTGTGGGGGGGGGGGGGGCAAACTCTTGACTTACTGCTAAAGCGATCTCGCAACCACCGCCCAACTTGAGGCTCTCACGTTAGCCTTGTTTCTGTGAGACATGCGAGGCAACAGAGAAAAGAAAGAAAAGCACAGATGTTGGGAGGCGGCTCCCACTTCCGACACCACAACTTACTGCGAAACCAACTACAGCCGCGATGATGGGCTTGGAGAAGTTGGCAAAGGCGTCTGTTAGGTCCTTGAGAAAGGCGCGCTGGTGGGCCGCTGCCGTGGAGATCTGCACCAGCTCATTGAGATCCATCCCGGCTGCACCACAAAACGGATTAGCCAACGTCGCGCCTCCATTAGATTAGATTAGAGGGGGGCCTGCCAGTGGAACCCTGGTGCGGATTTTCATGACGTTTCAGGGACTTGGAAACAAGAACGACAGCGGACATCCCCCTGTGTATCAAGTCCGTGGGGAATCAGATGGAGTTGAGATGGCAGTTGCTTGGTCGGGAAATCATCGACTGCCGTGCGCGGCGCCAACGATGATGAGTGTGCAGATTGCACGTGGAAGGGTAAAGGAAAAGGGAAGTGAAGCCGAGAAAGACGAGTTGAGGCCAGAGGATCCGACGACGGGGGTAAGCTTGTTGCGCCCCCCTCAAGACATGGTTCTCTGGAGCCCGACTCTGAAATCTGTCTCGACTGGTATGAGAAGAATTGCAAAACGTACCACAGAAGGGACCTTCGGGGCCACCAGTAACGACGACAGCGCGGATGGTCTCCAGGGCATCGAGGTGAGCCAGCGTCGAAACAAGTTCGCCGATCATGACCTGAGAGAAGGCATTTCTCTTGGCTGGACGGTCAAATCGGACCAGGGCGACGCCCTTCTCGGAGTCGACCGTCAACTTGAGTGTGGTGAGGTTCTCCATGATTTCTCGGGAGCCGGAGGAGTTGCCGTATGGATAGAGCCACGAGAAGAAGAAAAAGAGTTTGGGACTAGCGGATCACCGGAGTGCGACGATTGATTAAAAAACGTGGAAGCTTGGAGGTAAACCGAGGTGACTAAGGCGAGAGAGGGGGCAGTGTTGTTGTTGATGGCTTGTTGAAGCAGCGTGCTCAGCACATGGCAGAGAGACAAAGAAGTCGAAGTCGCCGGATCTTTTCTTCTCCCGGGTCTTGCTTTCTTTCTTCCTGGGACCCTTTTCTTCTTCGCCAGCAACAACATCGCCGCACTTTATTAGAGAATTCCACCCGGCTGCGACCGAATTCGGCCGAGGCGGGTGTCGACCTTGAGTAGCGTCGCATCTTGTCTGGGGGGTAGGCTCGCAGAAGAAGAACAAAACTGGCCTGAGGGTCGTTCAAGGGAGAGGGGTGGGCGGCCAAACGGTCGACAGGCATCATGAGCCGCGGAAGCCAGGGTTGCCCCCGGAAACGATGTGCAGACAGGGCACCATCCATGGCAGAAGCAAGGCATAACCCGCACAGGCGCCTAGCTTCCCTTCTTCCCTCCTCCTCCTCCACGATCGCGGCACGTAATGGATGGCACATGTCGACTGATTGACAACAACTTTGTCAGCCCCCCTGGTCATTATCCATCTCCAAGACGTCCGTCCTCCACTGCCGTGCCCCTTGTTACATCCCACGGCAACGCCTCGCGAGGGCCGCGAAGTGCTCCATCGACGAGACAGAGGACGACAGCTGCCGCATTGGGCGGATGTGGTCCGGATCGCTCTCCGTTTTTCCCGGATTTGGACAACTCATCCGGCGTGGCCCCGCCGAACCGCCAGCGGTCCTGTTACCGCGGAATGGAGACATTCGTTACGACAAAATTTCTGCCCACATCTAAAGGGGTGGAGGCGGATTCTCGACTGCTCCAGACGCTCCCTTGGCGGCCGTGCCTGTCACGACGAAATATAGTCTCCCTCTACTCTAAGTATCTATTGCGCTTGCATCCATGGTCGAGGATCCGCTTCTCCGTACAGAGACCGCATTCGTTCATCGAGGGATCCTGATCACATCCATAGTCTTGCAAGGTTCCTTGTAAGTGACCCCGTCTCTACCTACACTAGTTCATCACAGAGTCGTCCGTTCTCCACACTATCTAAAACAATTGTCTGCATAGCAAGGAGCTGAAAGAAGGAAAGAGTCCAGCCCTGATATCATCCATGGACCATGCCATGGCTAACGGGGGTGCTTCTGAGAATATGGAACCTTGCTTGAACACGGAGGTTGAGGCAATCTAGGCAGGTTTTTGGCGAAGTGACCAAAACGAAGAATGCACTCCCCCACAAGGCCGGGCAGGGTCTGGCGCTTCTCCGTTTCTCTAGGACATTGGCGCACAAACACACAGACGCGACTGTCCCGTGGAGGAGATATATCTGGTTCCAAGTGCCCACCTCTCGAGATGTGGCTACGAGATGTGTTACTGGTAGGCAACATTATCGCAGGGCATCAACATCCAGAAGCTCATCACCATGGCTCCCTCGCGCTCGTTCCACTCTCTGGAACACCTGTCCCTGGCGGACAGAGTTCTCTTCAACCAATTCAGCAGAGGACCGAGCGATGTGATACCATACCAAGTCGTTCACCACGCCTTCGAGTCCATCGCGGCAGCACATCCTGACGCCACGGCTGTCCGACACTACGATGGCACGACTATCACATACCGGGAGCTCAACCGCAGGGCCAATGTGCTCGCCAATGAGCTGAGGGGAACATACGGCCTCAGGAAAGGAGACCGTGTAGTGCTCGTCTACTCCCGATGCATCGAAATGGTCGTCTTCATCTTTGCCGTCCTCAAGGCCGGTGGCCAGTATGTCCCTCTAGATGGTGGCATCATTCCCGAAGACACACTCGGCTACGACATCGTCGACTCCAACGCGCCGGTTGTGCTGTGCCTTCCCAAGTTCAGAGAGAAGGTGCTGCGCAGCGTGCCCTCTGAAAGGCGGGACCGTGTGAGGGTCGTTGACCTCGATGCGAACAGTTGGCTGTGGACGCACGGCAACAATGGGCACCCCGGTGTCATTGTCAAGCCTGAAGATGGAGCCTATGTGATCTACACCTCGGGCACTACCGGGCGACCCAAGGGAGTGGATGTGAGACACGAAGGCGTTACCAACACCCTTCTAGCGGAGCCTTCCAAGCTGGGCATCCGTGTCGGGAAGAATGTAGCGCAACAGTTGAACGTCGGTTTCGATATGTGTAAGTCAAATGTCTCAAACTCTATTTCTTTAGTGGCCGACCACGCTGACGCGGCAATGGGTACTTAGGCGCGTGGGAGATTCTCGGCACCATGATGAACGGCGGAACGCTTCACATCAGAGGCAGCGGCAATGATCTCTGGACAGATTGCTTGCAGCGCGTCGACACTGTCATCGCGACGCCTTCCGTAGTCCTCAAGCACATGCCCAGGCGCGAGGACTTCCCCAACATCAGGACGATCGCTGTCGGTGGTGAGCCCTGTCCACTGGCGCTCGCTGAGCAGTGGGCGCCCTACGTCAAGTTCTGGAACGTATGCGGTCCTACCGAAATCAGCATTCTCAACACCGCGCATCTTCATAAGCCGGGAAAGACTTTGTCGATTGGCAAGCCTAACCCGAACACCAATGTTTACGTTCTCGACGAAGATGAGAACCCTGTCAAGATTGGCGAACCTGGTATCATGTGGGCCGGCGGTCCAGGCGTTTCTAGGGGGTATCTTAACTTGCCGGAGTTGACGGCACAAAGATATAAGGTCGACAAGTTCGCAAAGGATGGGTTAGTTTTGCGCCTCTTTTTATTCCCCGTTCTTCCGGCCGAGACTTGACAGAGAGAAAAGTACGCTAACGAACACCACTTACAGTCGTATGATGTTCAACACTGGCGACCTCGCTCGCTGGCTTGAAGACGGTAGCTTGGAGCCCCTCGGCCGCAAAGACGACCAGGTCAAGATTTCTGGCTTCCGCGTCGAACTCGATGGCGTCTCTCGCGCTATTGAAAAATGCCCTGGCGTCGTCAAGGGATGTGCGCTGAAAATCGACGATCGTCTGTGGGGCTTCTACTCTGCCCCTGCGCCGATCGACGAAGCTCAGCTGAAGACTGTCGTCGGCGAGGGCCAACCGTTCTACGCCGTCCCAACCGTCTGGAAGTACCTCACCATAATCGAGCTAACCCCCAACGGCAAGGTCGACAAGCGGGCCCTCCGCGACATCGCCGCTGGTGGTGCGGCCCAGACTCCGCCGCCGCTGCCTCTGGCAGATATCCCGACGGGCATGTCGACGCCCCAGCAATCGTCGAGCGCCTCGTCTATCAAGACGGCCGTCAGCCCTACCAGCGAAGGCGGCTTCACGCTCGTGGACTCTCGCACCTTCACCGTCGTCGATTCCCAGCAAAAGAATATCGACTTGGAGAAGACGGCCGCATTCGTCGAGGAAGCGGCCGAGAAGGAGGAAGAAGAGTACGAACTTCCTTCGAAGAAGGGCTTCCACGGCTGGAGATGGATCCGCCACCGCGGACTCAACGCCTACCGCAAGCTCTTTGGTGTCATCTTCCTCTCCAACCTCGCCGTCTTCGTGTGGATGCTGTACGAGAGCCGCAATAGCAACTTCTCCCTGCCCCTGAACCACCTGGCCACCGCCGTCGCCGCCAACCTCCTCGGCGCCGTTCTCCTGCGCCAGGAATACGTCGTCAACTTCATCTTCTGGGCGTGCTCCCGCGTGCCCACCTCCATGCCACTTTCCATCCGCAGACACTTTGCGCGTGTCTACCACAATGGCGGCGTCCACTCGGGCTGCGCCGTCTCCGCCACTGTGTGGTGGGTCATCTTCACGGGCGCCGCAACCGGCAACTTCATCGCGCCTCAGTCCCTTTACTCCGTCAACCTCATCACCCTCGTTCTAACCTATCTCATCCTCATCCTCCTTGTCCTGATCCTCGTCATGGCTTACCCCTCCATCCGCGCCAAGATGCACGACCAGTTCGAGTGGACGCACCGCTTCGCCGGCTGGTCGGCCCTCGCCCTCGTATGGGCCCACGTCATCGCTACCGCGGCCTCCATGTCCGCTGAGCCCCTCGGCCCGGCCCTGGCCAAGACACCCGCGCTCTACCTCGTGGCCCTCACATCCTTCAGCATCGCGCTGCCCTGGATGCGCCTCCGCCGCGTAAAGGTCGTCCCGGAGCCGCTCTCCAAGCACGCCGTCCGTCTGCACTTTGACTTCTGCACACCCGGGCCATGCACTTCGCGCGGCGTCCGCATCACCGACAGGCCCATGGTCGAGTGGCACGCCTTCGCCGCCATCCCGGAGCCGAGCGGAAAGGGCTTCTCCATCGTCGTTTCCAAGGCTGGCGACTGGACCAAGCGCATCATCGAGAACCCGCCCACCTCGATCTGGACCCGCGGCACCCCGGCGTCGGGCGTCCTCGCCGTCGCCCCGCTCTTCAAAAAGATGGTCCTCGTCGCGACGGGTTCTGGTATTGGTCCCTGTCTTCCCGTTCTTATGGAGCGTCGGGTTCCCGCGCGCGTCGTCTGGTCGACCAAGAACCCGCTCAAGACGTATGGGCAGGGCGTCATGGATCTGATTCTCAAGGCGGATCCGGGCGCGTTGATTTGGGATACGGATGAGCGCGGTAGGCCTGATTTGGTGCAGTTGGCGTATAATGTGTATAAGGAGAGCGGGGCTGAGTGCGTTGCGATTATCTCCAACGGGCCTACTGTGAATAAGTTTGTGTATCGGATGGAGGCGAGAGGGATTCCCGCGTTTGGACCTATTTGGGATTCATGAGCGTTGTTTTGTATCCCTTTCCTTTCCTTACTGTCAAGTTGTTTCTTGGGCGGGATCCTTCTTTTGTCACAAGTTTTACCATACCAGAGTCGTTTCATTGTTCCCGTATAAATTAGCATCTAGTCTAGATCGTCTTCCGTATCCTGGATGAGTTGTTGACTGACAAATACCAATTTGAATCCATATTAATTATCGTCTGTATCTCGTCTTGCTCGTGTTCAGTCCCTACAGGACATCCAAGGTCATTTGCCCCTTATGTGACCGCTCGAGATATCGACGTGATTTCTCCAGACTAGAAAATAGCAATGCTTGTGGACTCTTCTACTCATGTTGACTGGCACGTGTAAGATCGGGCGGAGGCCGGTGTTCAGATTCACGGAGCGGAGTCGAGCGGGATGTCCACAATTGCCGTCCTACGATGCACATCACATAAGGTCCGGCCCCGGTCGAAGCCGAAGACTTTCGTGTGTTCCCATAAGTCTTTACGCAGATGGTGATTCTGGGAACTGAGACTAGGTGATCGCAAGTGCCTCCACGAATAGGATATTGCCGTGATGATAAGGACGACAGTAGCTTGACTGCTAGTCGACCTTTATGCAGTCTCGCGCGCTTCGGGATCACTCGTACAATGTCACCTCACAATTTTCTGGAGCGGCTCTCTCCTATACATGCTGAAAAGACAAACTTTGAGAATTGAACACAATTCCCGTGCCCAAATAAGTCGACTCGATGTAACGGACTTTGTACCGGGCTTTTTTAGACGTAGATTCGCAAGGCATAACGCAAGACTATTTCTTGGATTCTGTGTGGGTAGTCGGACATGGAAGGCAGTCGGGACCGTACCAACTGTTTCTCCACTTACAACTTCCGGAGCAACAATAATATTGCCCATTCCTTCTCCTTCCATCCAACTTACACAGCAATTCAACCGACGATTGACCTTCGTGCCAACCTTACTGTTATCCTACTGACGTGTATCCCGACACTGTTCCTCTCGTCCAAAGATTCCCTGTGTGCCTGGCTACGTGGCAGTGTATCAAACACGCAGAATAAGCAAGTCGGTTCCTCATCTACTTGCCTAGGAGACACGGACGCCGGAACAAGGTATCAGCCATCATGGCAGCAAGAGGTGTCGGAGCGAACGAGATCGAAATAGAGTAGCGTTACATGCCGCGTGCCGGCGGGACTCCCGTTGCCTCACTTTCTTCCGGCCCGGTGGGATGAAGATATTGTGGGCTTGCCGGCTTGGAGGTGTAGCTTTAATTCGTACAAGGAACAAGGTAGCATGCTCATGAGTCGCCAACGTTCCCATCCGGATACAAGCTTTTCGGCACTCAAGTCCCATGCAATATTTCCAAGATCGGCAAGTATAGTACTCGTATAGTTCGTTGTGTGGGATGTCGCGAGTTGATACTGACTGATTCTACACATGGACCTCGACAGCCGATGTAAGACGCCTAAGTGTAGCTAACCAGACAAGCGGGTCGTTCAACGTGGTCAACATGAAAAAATAGTGTTTGAGTCAATACTCAAGATGAAGTGGATTGTTTTCCACCTTTCTTTTTTGCATGGGAATCGTTTCCTAAATAGGCAAGTTAGCATTGTGCAGAATACGAATACTAGAGTTTTCCACATTCAAGACAAACCGTCCAATTGACGGGTCTCAATACAACGGTCATTGCGCCTCATGATGCACGACAGCGGGGAGAAATGCGCTTTTGGCGAGAACTAAGTTCTGTCACCCGGTTATCAAACTCACAGAAGCGGCAAACGGTTGTCTGCCTTTTGGCAGCTTGATATTTCAGTTCACGGCGCTGACAACTCCCAACCTCAACCACTTGAGTGCGATTGAAGCCGCCATAGGAGAACTTTGATCCCGGCGAAGTTTTTCTACATCACTTGAGTGGCGAGACCGAAGCCGGAGCCAGACTTGGAACTTTCTCAACCTCAAGTGCAGCCCTTAGGGTAGAACAAGACAAATACGCGGAAAGAGGCAGCTGAATCGCTATCTGCATCCATAGGCTTACGTCGCCCTCCCCACCGGAATGAACCGCTGCCGGAACATCTTCAGAAGCACTTCGTCCCATATTTCGCGACAGGCTTGCCGTGGGTGGTTCGTCGCTGACTTCTCGTGTCATTCGTATTAGGCCCGAGCTGATCAGCGTTCTGTTGCTGACGGTATGTCCGCTTTTTTCGAGCAAGCCCGCAATCTGACGAAAAATCCCATCTTTTGAAACGATCTACAGAGGGGCGGGTTGAAAGTGGTTCAATGTTCTGAAGCACTCTGCGGTTGAGAGTCTATTGTTTTGCCCCCAGCGGCCCATGCAGATCCCACACAGACGCGCATCTGCGCTCCGCTTCCATGACACCCAGTCCTGACAGCGACTTGTCAACATAGGGCGGAGCGGGAACAATGACAGATCATCGAACATGTTTGACCCCTCCAGGATGCCAGAGAAGGACGCGGCGGCTGCACAGCCCGGAAAGTTTCGCAGAGAGTCATTAATGGCCGTGTCCACTGTGTTTGTTGATCGCCGCTGATGGCAACGAACCAAAACGGTCCTCACGCGCGCGCGAAAATTGCTGCATTCCTTTTCGTATCCCCGTATCCGTTTCTCTTCTTACCCAACCGGGAAAAGACCTCTGCCAGATTTCTTCCATGCTCAGTCCTTCCTGCGCGTCATTCAACTCGAACCTCTTTGATCTTCTCCCAATCTAATCTTTCTTCACTCGCAAAAAGGGGACATAGATCATCTTTTCTTTCCAAATCTTGAAAGTTCGAATCAGACCGGCCTCTGATCTACAACCTCCTGAGAGCGCGCTAGACCATGTCAACGCGCTCGACGCAAACCGTCCTAGAGACGCCGACGATGCTAAGGAAGAGATCAGGCTTTCTGGTCCTTGCCGAATATGACAAAGCCGGCGCTCTGAAGACCAAGTATGTCGAGTCGGCTCCGACTGCCGGATCATCTAGGGTCGATCTCACGGTAAGCTCAGCAAACAACATGGAGGACCCCTGGTACCCCTCCTTCTTTCGATGTCTTGATGTAAGACAGCGGAGAGTTTGCATGTGATTTGACACTCGTTCGCGTAGCTCCCTCCCAAAAGAAAGAAGCCTTGGCAAGAGCTTCTCGAAATTTTCTTGCCGGATGGCTATCCGCATAGCGTTACAGACGACTATGCTGAATATCAGATTTATGTGAGTAAACACCGATTCAAACCAAGAGGTATCCAGTCTAGCTTACCCTGAGTAGGACTCCCTTCAAGCTTTTGCTGGCACGATTGCCGGCATGATTTCCTCGCGTGCTGTTTGGCAAGGTAAGAACTCCGCTGCGTTGTCCCGGCTAATCTTACCCTCCCCTTACCAGTTCGCTCTCTATTACTGTGTGCTGACTACACCCACAGGGCTGGGTGTCGGAGACTCATTAGCATCACCGACTGGGGCTATGCTCATCCAAGTCACGAGAGAGTCCATGGGAAGGCTCGCAACTATCACATTTGCACACCTGTTTGCGACTTCGATTGAAGCAGAATGTAAGGCATACCGCATGGCCTGTGATCTGTTAACCGACACAGCGATGGTTCTCGACTGCGCGTCTCCTTATTTTCCGCAAGAAGCCAGGTTTCTGGTTCTCTGCCTCTCCAGCATCCTATACTCCGCATCTGGCGTCGTTGGGAACGCATCAAAAAGCAGTCTTAGTGGTCACTTTGCCAAGTGGAACAATCTCGGCGAGCTCAATGCTGTAAGTACTAGGACTTAGCACAGTGGAGACGTATGCAGGATTAGAGTTGCTAACAGTACACAGAAAGATGCCAGCCAGGAGACAGCCATCTCTCTGATAGGAATGCTTGTAAGTCAAAAACAAGATGCATCTAATCCTAAAGCTTCGATTTTTACTAACAGATGCATAGACGGGAACGTTTTTATTATATTTTCTAACCGACGAAACATTATCATGGATCGTTCTCTTTGTCCTCCTTGGCGTTCACCTCCTTCTCAATTGGAGGGGCGTTCGAGCAGTACACTCACGTCAGCTAAATCGGCAACGTACCAATATTGCTCTGTCGGCATTATTTTCGAAAGACGAAGTCCTCACACCACTGAAAGTTTCCCAAAGAGAACTCATCTTCGAGAAGCGAAGGGGAGAAGTCTTTCGCTGGAACTCCGGGCCAGTGTTTGGCCACTGCAAGTACGGAGTGCCCCTCAAGACCCTGCTTGAAGCTTTGGCCTATGGGAAGACCCACGAGATGTCTTTCCAGCTTTCAAGTGTCGACCTATATACACTCATGGACGTATTCGATCGCGAGGAGTACGTTCTCTGGTGCCAGGTGTCGACCGCGGCCAACGACGCGGCCTCCAGAATCAAGGTTATTGTTGTTCTGAAAGAAGGCGTGACGCCGAGGTCACAGCTGAAAGCTTGGTTCCATGGTCTGTTGCTGGCCAGAAAACTGAGCGGGCAGGAAGAGGCGAACTTGGTGCGAGCTGAATTCGATCAACAAGCAATGTTGGGCCACGTGGAAGAAAGTTTGCAAATCGCCAACGAAAAGTACGAGCTGTACGCGAGGAGACTGGCTTCTGCAGGCTGGAACATCGAGGTTCCTGTGCTGGAGACCCGAGCAGGCTCTCGCATTGTTCGGGAGCCTGACGAGATGAGATCACACTGAGGTTTTATTCGCCGGTCGCAGGGGTTGAAGAGACGATCTAGATGGTCTGGGTCAACATGCAACCGTTAGATTTGGTCTGAAGTTAAAAACATGCAGCATAGCGTCACAGTCATATTCAATATCATCAGATCTGCCTGGAATAACTACCTTGTGTCGTACTTGTGTGAGATACGTCTGATTATTTGTAGTATTAGTCCGTCCGGGTAGATACGCTTGTATACTCAGTACCTAGATCAGTAGGTTACCACCTTGATGGTGTATCCTGAGCCGGATGCAAACAATATTTGCGACTTATTGCTGCAATGCAAAAGGATAACCCCAGAACTCTATGCGCACGACACGTGGAATTTTACCAAACACTCGCGGATGCGTAGTTGGCAGCGACAGCCCACACCACATCGATCAGCGCGGCCCGGATAGCTGCCGACCCATCTCCGGGTTATTTTGTATTATCTCTTTGCATTATTTGAAATTAGCAAGGTTATTCTGCTCATTAGACTTGACACTCTACCGTGCACGTAGGCCTCCCGGCTGTGTTCAAGTAACGACAATGCAAATTTAAGGTCGCTTTCGCGTCAAGAGATTTTAGGGGTCTCTACGTTGTCAGTTTATGCTCGGGCCAATCTCGCTATCGGTAATTTGATGATCGTCTTGGCCCCGTCTGCGACACTCGTCAGTCCCGACAACCCGTTCAGCCCGTCCCGGCTGCCTACTGTTCCTGGTGTCAAGCGGTGCCGCTACTTGGCACCTCAATGCGCCAAAAATGCCATGGCGGTGACCGTGCTGGTCTCCGTCTGCGTACTCAGTACGCTGTCAATGGCCGCATTGCTCACTATGTTGGCCCGACTCGTTCCGTGGCTGGGTTCTTGGAAGGGGGCCAAGTTTTTTTGTTTTGGGGGAAGGGTTAAGTAGGACCCGCTCGTATCAAATCTCGCATTCGAGAACGGATGCGACTCGTGAATGCGAACGCGAAGCGTACAGCCCCCAGACGACTCACCAAACATCACCACGCATTGTAATTCTGGAACGGCTGATGTGTGAGACACGTGAGCTGACAATGTCCATGCCTCTCTGGACCCTTTGGAACCATCATTGGCAATCATTGGTCGAGCTTTCAACCCCGGGTTAGAGTGTTGGGTTGAGACGGTTCGGACATTGAGATTTGATCTTTCTGGGGACATTAAACCTTGAAGCGCAAGCCACCGTACGGAGTACAAGGCGCCGGGAGACAAGTCCGGATACGCAGTCGCGACCTTGACTTCGCGCTTCTTTAGGATTGCGTGTGCGCATAGATAAAGAGACATGTCCGACCACCAAGCCGTATACATGACGACACATCATCCATTTCTTGACTTTTCCCTCAGCTTTATTCACTGTATTACCTTAGATCAAAATGAGAAACCCAACCACGGCTTCACGGCCGAGCACTGGCCAGCCAATTGAGGTTCGCATCAGAACTACTGAACCCCGAGCTATTGAAGTTCGAGCCAAAGAGGCCTTGCCGAGGAGCAAGTCATTTCACCAGCTTTCTTCCCGTGTGGAGGTTAGACCGACAGAGTCACTTCCGCGAAGCAAATCCCATCACCAATTGCCTCGCCCGGAAAGATCTCAAAACCCGGTGCAGTTGCAGGCCTTTGAGTGGAATTTGCCCGCCGACCACAAGCACTGGCGACGGCTCCGGCGCGCGCTGCCGGCGCTGAGGTCCGTTGGTGTGAACAGCCTATGGCTGCCGCCCGGAAGCAAAGCCAAGGATCCCGAGAGTAACGGCTACGACATTTACGATGCCTGGGATCTAGGAGAGTTTGACCAAAAGGGCTCAGTCCCCACCAAATGGGGGACGAAGGGAGACCTTGCATCTTTAGCGGCGGATGCGGAGCACCACGGCATTGGGCTCGTCTGGGACGCTATTCACAACCACCGCGCCTACGCTGACGGCACTGAGATGGTAAAGGTGGTCGAGGTTGATCCGCGTGGTAAGCTTGCACCCGTCAGCTCGTAGTACTCCTGGTTCTTATCTGCTTACACGCATTTCAGATAGACGAAGAGACACCACAGACGTCTATGAAATTGAGTCATGGACCAAATTTGACTACAAAGCTAGAGGGGGCAAGTACAGCAAGTTCAGATACAACAAGTCGCATTTCAACGGTACGGACTGGAACCAACAGAACAAGAAACGTGCCATCTACAGGTTTGTAGAAGATGGGAAGAACTGGCATCAAGACGTTGGTGACCTCCAAGGAAATGCCGACTACTTGATGCTCGAAAACCTCGACTACACCAACCCTGAGGTCGTCAAAGAGCAGCATCAGTGGGGCAAGTGGATTGTGGATGAGCTCGGTCTCAAGGGCTTCCGCGTGGACGCCGTACAGCACATCTCATGGAACTTCATCAGCAAATGGGCCGAGCACTTGAGGAAGCCAGCCATCCGCAATGATCTCATGTTTATTGGAGAGTTCTGGCATGGTGATGTGCGCGTCTTGAACAATTGGTTAGAGCACATGCCAGCATTCTTCAGCCTCTACGACGTGCCTCTGATGTACCACATCGAAAGATTGTCATGGCACCGAGACACGGACTTGAGGCAGGTGTTCAAGGACACGCTAGTTGAACAACGACCTAATAACGCTGTCGTAAGTTTGTCCATTTTCTGAAAAGTTGAACGACTTGCTAACGATTTGCAGACTTTCATTCGTAATCACGACACTCAGAAAGGTCAACAGATGGACACCCCAATCTGCAAGGAGTTCATGCCCTTTGCCTACTCCATGATCCTTCTCAGACGCGATGGTCACCCATGTGTCTTCTTTGGTGATCTGTACGGCATCGAGCTCACCCATCCCGAAGCGCCAATCCAAGATCTTCCCAACCTTCTCCTGGCCAGGAAGCTTTATGCTTACGGGGAGCAACAAGATTACTTCGAGCGGCCCGACTGTATTGGATGGGTCAGGCGCGGAACGGAAGACAGACCCGCCGGCATGGCCGTCGTCATGAGCTGGACACAGGCTGAACATACTGACACTCGATTGTCAATGTCAGTTGGTGCCAACCACGCCGGGGAGGTCTGGACCGATGTCCTCGGAATGGAATCGGCTGCGGTTACGATTGACGAAAACGGCGTAGGCTCTTTCTACTGTCCGAAGAACAAGATGGCTTGTTTCGTCAGCTCGGATGCCAAGGGAAGAAAAAGGTTTCCACTTAGGTTCGATTCTGACTTTCACAGCCTTGTTGAATAAAGTAAACACGGAGTGATCTTGGTGCAAGAGTTAAGGTGATAACATAGATGAAGAATGTCACTATAGATAGACATTTGTACACATTTCGGTAGCATTTATCAGCGTAGACATAGCCTAGGTAATACCCTCATTGGTGTCATGAATCTCACCCACGTCGAATTCAATCTTCCTTGGGTTTTACCAATGGGCATTTGGGAGTGATTCCCGAACTCAGTGATGATTTTATACTGCGGCCAATGATCCATGATACGCTTGGTAAATTGAGCCCTATTAAATGGTGGGTCTGAGCCTCCGCATATTCTGGGGGGAGCTTCTCGTTGCGAGCTTATTCATGTTTGACTTCTTCGTGGAGCACTCAGTGCAGCAATGCCCACGAGTTTATAAAGAAGACTCATGTCAAGTGGCCAAAATAAGAACCTCGAAGCTTTGACTTGGTGCGGGAAGAGATATCGATGTTCTCTTTCAGTCTACAGAACGTATGCTGTGTAACATTGTGCTTCAGGAGAACAAAGCTTTCATGGTTCCTCTATCTACGGGGAAATGGAAAGAATCGAAAGCTTTTCCTACAGCCGATTGAAGAAGGCTCTCGTGTTCAACCATCGATTTCCCAAAGTTGTCCATAGAGCGCAAAATGCAACCCTGAACCAGCTCCGAAAGCTTGCAACCTCTACCAGAAATGCAATGGCCCATGCTGCAATGGACAGAAAAAAGCTATGGGGTATAACATCTGCAAAGATAAGAGCCCAAATAACAAGCCCGGTTGCATATATCATTAACAAGAACAAGGGCCAGTAATCCCATATTTCTCGTGTAGGTTGGTTCGGATCCTCGTATCCCAGCTCTGGTGTCAGCTGCTAGGTCAGCGAAGTCAGTCAATATGCCCCAGAACACCGATACTCCTTCTCACAGTGTGTTCATGGTGCGAACTTACATCATCTCCAGCAGGAACATCAGATGAGACCGGTTCATACTCTGTGGCCGCTACGCATTATGATAATCAGCCAAAAGGTTCAGTCCCGTGAACAAGTATTTGACTGCTATTGCCTGGATCGTCTGACAAACCGATATAGTCACTTACTTGTATAAGCTTCAGTGGCTGTGATCAAAGGAAGAGCCAGAAGAAATAAAGGTACGAGCTGCCCGAAATTTGGTTTTATAGCTCCAATATTCAAAGTGGCATCATCGAAGAATCTGAGGAGATTCGCGGTCCCAAATGTGAAGTAGAAGAATAGCCACACGATCTCCCAGAGAAAACTAGATCTGATGTCCGCTAATGTTTTGTTCTTGTCAAGGCTCTTGAACCGATCCTCGGTATCAGATCCAAACAGAGCTCGTAAGGAACGACATTGCCAAAAGTCTTGTTCGTCGCGTGCCGGCATGCAGTACAGTTGTAAAGACCTTTGAACATATCCAGATATAAGAATGTAAGTCAATACGGATAAGTTGAAGATAATAATGAATTCGTCAGAGAAGAAGACGTAGTTCGGTCTTTCTCGATCAATCAACTTGAAATGCTCTCTCGCACACTTGACCGAAACGTGGCGATTGAAGCGAAACGTCACAGAGTCTGATATGATCATGCAACCAATCATCATGACTAGAAAAGCCACCATAAGAATGGTTCGAAATATTCGCAGCCAATTATGTCGGTCAAAGTATTCCCATAGTACTGAGAGGGAACAAAGGTGCGTGATGCACGAGAAGTAACCGAGTCGGGTCGCGATTTGAAACGAGTACACCGAGAAGCTATCATCCAGGTCATGAATCCCCGAGAATATCAGTATCGTTGCCAGCATGAGAGCCATGCCAGTGACAAGTTGCTGATCGCTCAAAGATAGCATGAACGACTCGAAGGCTTTGATACGTCGCTGCCTCTCTGCCTGCGACACGCGACGGTAGGCGATGCTGTCTATTGACTTGTAACGTTCCTCAGGTAGCGCATTTGCCGCATATGCTACCATAATGGCGATCATATTCATTACGATGGAAAAGCAAAACGAAGATACGATCTATACAACGTTAGAGTCAGTCAAAGATCCCGCGCAATCTTCAGATAGAACCTTACTCCCCAGCCCGTAACGTCAGGGTCAGGCACATCCTCCTCCAGCATCCCATTGCAGTATCCTCTCTTAACCAGGTAATCGGTCTCCATCTAGCTGGATGCTTCCTTATGCTAGCAAGTAAGTGAGACTGGGTTGTTGACCATTAGCCGCAGCGTGGAAAAATTCCAGGCGACGTTCTGATGAAGAAGGCTGAAGTAAATGATGAGATATGATGAAATATGATGAAACCATAAGCGTCAACCAGGCATGAGGACCAAGAACTGGGAAAGGAGTGTGCTTTAAGGTCAATGGCCCCATTTGCGACCCATTTGCGACCCATTTGCTTGGAATCAGGCGGCTATCGTTTACGACCAGGGGTAGGTATCAGCAAGCCATAGTGACTCAAGCCTCAAATCTCGGACACCTGTGGAAACAACCATAATGCAGAGGCTAGATGTGAGCAAAAGGACAAGTGGGTGGGTAGGAAAAGCTTCCACAATTGATGTCTGCAACGAATAGGATTCACGCGCTTATCAATCTGGGTTGGAAGGCTCGAAGTCGAGTACACTGGCAGTAAGTGTGGCTGGATCTATCGAAAACTTGCAGTGCAGCTGCATAGAAAGATCGCGATAAATGCTTATCAGATGGGCTACCTCGGTCTCATCGCCCTGTGGCTATGCACTTGGGGGCTTGTCTGCCTAGTTATCTCAGGCAGTCAAGGCAACTCAGACAGATGACGTGGAAGGGGGAGGAAGCCCGCCTCACTTGCGTCAAGTTGGCATACCTTGATTTCTCCTAGCTGAAGGGGCTGGTGCGGCGCATGCACGCCAGGCCTTGGTCAACTTTCAGCTCCCCTCTGTCGGTCGCATGAGTACTATTGTCCATGTCAAGGTTGGCTCAAACAACGCTACCGAACTATCCAAGCAGATACCTGAATTATTCTAATTTCGACATGCAGGTTAGAGATTCCATTTGACCTTGTGTTGTGGAGTAGAAGACGGGAGTCAGCGGGCTCGCTTGAGGGTCAAGTACGTTACCTTATTACTTCGTTGATGTCGCCCATATTCTCGCCAATCTGGGAGAGGCTGGTCACAGCCAGAAGTCACTCATTTCAAATACCGCATCTCAAAACCAAATCCTGGACACTTTGTCTGTCGTGCACCTTGCCACAACTGTTATGTGTTACCAACTCATGTTCCTCAACACACTTTCGGCTAGTTTTCCTATCGATGTAATCCGCGATGTTTGATCTAAGCAGGTCGACGTATGTGACTACTCAGTCAGGAAACCCAGGTCTTTCTTATGCATTTCACGAATTAGGATGTGAAGTATTTCCTGCACATCCTACTCCTCTGCCCGCTGAAGGACACCTCATACATGGATGTTTACCGGCCTCAAAGCAGCAACCTTGATGCGAGTAGCTAGACAAGACAGGATAGTCTTAAAAACGACTTGAGTTTCCGTTACGATGGGTTCAAGTAATAACCAACGTGTAGGATGTAACGAGGCGGTGTACTAGGCTTACCACGACGCAAACGTCACCTAAGATCAAGTTTGACCCTTATACAATACTTCACTTACCCATTGGCAGCAACAGCGATATGGTATTTCAGAAGCTCGAAGCCGATAAGAGATCGTGTATTGAAGAGCCGTAAATAGACCATGTGCTTCTCTGACAATCGAAAGGCCACCACGCTGATCGCTCTGGGCGTAAGCTGACATTCAGTGCGACACAACCCAATATGAGTTTGTGACTGTAGCCTTCTCAGAACAGAACATCAGCATATTACTGGTCGCCTGTTTATCGTTACACAACTCTTTCTTCAATCTCTTAATGAGCAATGGTCCCTATCAATGATCCTGGACTTCTTTCCTCCTCAGATCATCTTTTCTTTGGCCCATTGGGTGAGGTAACAGAACATAAATGTTCTCAGAGAGTTATTACACCAAAACTTCCCTCTTGTAACAAGATGCAAGAAGAGTCCCATCTCAGCCCTTCACCCCCATTGGCTCACAGGTCAGACGGGCAACCAGTCTCTCTAAGTTCAAGTCGACGTACATCGCTGGCATCCAACAGGCACTACCCCCTAGAGCCTGAAGCCCAACAATGTCTACCCGAGCCGGAAGATGCTGCAACAGAGGACCTGGCATCTACGATAACAGGTTCACGCGTTTCGACCGATGGCACGACGAAGTACAACCGTATTGCGGAAGACGACACCGATGGCGCCGTACCAGTGGTTGACTTGCCCAACAACAGGTTGGGGTTTTTCACTATCGTAACAGATTGCGCCGCTGTGGTTCTTCCTTTGGGTCTCATTGTCTTCATCGTCATTGTGTGGCGCCTTGACGGTTCCGAGAGTACCGAAAGCTCCCGCGGGGCTTGGCGAAACGCAATCACGATCGTAAGTACCCAGCCCTTTTGCCTGCACATGCTAAGAATTCAAATGATGATAATAACGACCGAATCTAGCTCGCAACTGCGTTTCCGATCCTGTTTGCGTCAGTTGCAGGTCGTCTTACATATGAAGCGGCTCGCTGGAAGCTAGAAACCGGCACGACCCTCGGTTCTCTCGAGCAGTTCCTAGGCAGCCGAACGGTCGGCGCCACCCTACTCAATCTGATCCAACTTCGATCATTCAATATCGTGGGTGCTGCTTTGGTATTGATATGGGCACTCTCACCTTTGGGCACTCAATCTATTTTGAGAATGATGTCCTCACAAATCGCCCCGGACAACAGAAACACGACGATAACCTACTTCGACACCAACGCTGAGAGTCAGGCCATACAGTGGGCGACCTGGGTGGGATTTTCATACTCAACCTCCATGGCGAGTTTCCGACCCATGTCGACGTTGTATAACACCCTGATTTCAATGCCTGAAGGACTCAAAGCGGATGCTATGGATGTCTGGGGCAACGTCAAAATACCTTTCCTGAAGCGCTTAGACACAGATGACTGGTTGGACTTCTTGGATCAAGATCTCGGTGTGAATGAGTATTCGTCTTTGGCCGGGATCCCTCTCAACAGCATCGAAGTTGGACACACCATATTTTCGCTAGAGTCTAGCTACATTAGCTTAGACTGCTCGGATGTTGAAACCCTCAAGATGGATCTAGGAGCCGACGACCTGCTGAAAGAAGAGGTATTCCACGACGACCTATCAGCCGCTTCTCTGGCTGTAGACACCAGGTACACAAGAAACGCTAAGTTGCCAAATGGTACATGGCACGGATACGACTACACAAGAAACGTCTCCGGGCTAGATTCAACCTGGATTCTGGCGCTCGACAGATTTGTAGATCGGATATGGTCCATGAAACCTGCTGATTATCCTACAAAACCAGTCGTTGGTCCTTTGCATGGTCGTGTCGAGGAAATGCACCGGCCCCTCTTATTCAAAGATGAGCAACATGTCGACGCCGAGCCGACGACTCTTCTATTTCAAAGCATATTCCCCCCTCAGGAAAAACACCCAGGATGTTCAGCAAAGAGCCTCTCCAGGGTATCTCAGGAGTACGCCGAGTCCCGCGTCAACTGTTCTCGCACGGCTCGCACCGACAGACACAACTGCACCGTGGTAGCCCAGCGGAAATCTCAGAAGAAAAATGCTCCTAGGGATATATCTCAGCTATCGTTCCCCGCCGTCTTTGACTTTGTCTCTCGCGAGCTTCCGCTCTCCATCGGAGGCTCTACGGCGTACAAGTCCGAGTTCTCGCTTTACCACCTCGCTGATCCAGGGCTTAGACAGCTGAGGTCGGACGATTACTGCATCATAGAAAGCGTCACAGCCAAAGATATGGGAATTCGACTTAGCCAGCTCCTCAATACCTACCTCTTGATAAGCCAGCTTTCGTTCGAGATTGCAGAGTGGGACGCGGATAAACCAACGTCTGGGGCCAAGATCTCCGTCGATGCAGAAACAAGTACCCCTGTTATCAACTTTGAGATCTCCTCATTATGGATTACGCTTTTCTTGGTCGCGAGCATCGTGCTTCTTGCAGCTGGTATCGCGAGCGTTGTCCTCAAGCACTGCACATACGGGCCAGAGATCCTTGGGTACGCTTCTACCGTGTTACGAGATTCGATATTTTTTGATGTTCCAAGAGACTATAGAGGGCTGGATGGGATTGATCTATCACGGAAGATGAAATCTGATCGGCTTCGCTTTGGCTTGATACAAGGTCTGAAGCAGGGACAATCACGGATGGGAGTTGGTCATCAAGAGAGTACGGATCGATTAGGAAAACAACAGAATCGTGACTGAATCTGTCAGGAGGTTTGAACCACAATCCATGTCTTAGATGCAAGGAATCAAGCCAAGTCAACCTCACATCGTCGGGACCCTTGATCAATGAATCATCCATGGAGGCGAAACGAGGCAACACAGATTTCTACATGCACGATCGTTCGGCAGAAAGGTTGATGGTTTTAACGGTATTGTTCTTTATTATTGATTAAATATGAGGACCTGACTTGGGGTCCTACAAAGCTACATGGTCTTTTTAACACGTTTCGAGGCTATGCTTGAAAGGCTGTCCCCCGAGTATCAGTACACGCAGAAACGAGGTGTCTCGACTCAAAAACCCCACTGAGCCCTTATCCTTCCGGACTACCACGTAACACAAAAAGATTGGCCGCTGAATGTAAAACGGCGGCTTTAAGCTTGCGCGAAATGTCACGTAAGCGCGTAGATGGAGGATTTGGCAGTCTTTGATGTTGCTGTCGGTGACCAGAGTCCCGATAAATGGAGAAAGTGGCCGCAAGCTTTAGTCAGTCGCGCGTTGTTCCTCTTCGATCACAGAAGTTGTTGCCAGGTCCAGTACTTGGTCAATCCCCAAACTATCGATGAGAATTATCTTCGAGGTACCATTTCGTCGGCCCAAAGCATCGATGATCGTGGCATAGTTCAGTTCCCGTGTGGGGGATGTGATCTAGTCGAATGGGAGTGGGTGGTCTCGCAGCACTCAAGCTTCTCTAGAGCCCTTATACTGCTTTGTTCTTGGATTCTTCTTGTCCGGGAATTTCCCCGTCTTCCACTGTTCCTGGTAGTTCGGCAATGGGCTCCACAGACTCTTCTTCCGGTGATCGCTTGCTGGCTTTCCACCTCTCCGACCGAGCCATTGCAAAGAGTCTCGTTGCGCCGTAGAGCTGGGTCGTGATCCATAGCGTGAAGATGACGGGAGTGACCACCCTCCACACATGACCCCATCGATCCCAAGACTTGTGCAAGAGGTATATCGTGACTGCGGTCTCGGAGACCGCACCAACAATAACCCATACGAAGCAGGCGGAGGTGAGGTAGGAGAGTAGTCGATGATCACGGCGCTTGATTCGCCAGATGATCATAGAAAGGTAGATGGGCAGTTCTACTACGACGTCGAAAGCGCCTAGGTCAAATAGTCAGACATTCAATGTTGCGCTTTATCTAGATTCGGACAGAGTGCTGTCAACATACCCCACACCATGCACATGTAGAACTCGATTGTTGCTTCCGGGTGGTGCTCGATGTTTCCAAACAGGGAGAGGGCGGTCTGCGTGATGGCCAAGAGTCCAATATGATGAGCGATACTAAGAGGACTCGCGAATTGTGTGCGATAACAGAGCTCGAAGACGTAGTAGGCGCTATACGTTTGCGCCACCGTAAACAACAGATCGCCTACTCTGATACGCCTTCCTGGTCCTGGCGACACGTCCGTTGTCAAGTCGGCAGAGCCGATGAGGAAACGGAACACAGGGTAGACTCCGATGCAGAAGAGTGTGAGCATGATGATGGCACCGATATGGTAGTACGTGAAGGAGCGCCGTCTCTTTTCGTTCTCAGGGCGCTGTAAGACTGCATAGATCTCGCCGTATACTCTTTCCAGTAGCCATCGTTCGAGGATGTTGGCGATGAGTACAACGACGATGACGCTTGAGACGAGGAGGAGCGACCCATATGCCTGGAGACCTGACAGTGGTCCATTCTGGATCGTCTCGATTTTCGGGAGTGACCTGGTAGCCAGGCTAGTTGTGAGATCGGCCATGATGTTTAGCTTGTATGTACGAGAACACCTATATTGAAGGCGACAAGCAAAGAGATGGAAGGAGAGACAAGTCAAGGGAAGTTTCTGACGTCAAGGACCGGGGTATATGGCAAAGTTGCATGCTCAGAGGAAGAAGAGAAAACAAAGTGTCGAGTGGCTTGCGGCGGCCCTCAAAATGGCGTCGAGGGTGGCTTTTTGTCGACCTTGATAGAGTGACGATGGCTTCAATCTATCCAGGTATGACACCGTCAAGGTTGGAGAAGGTGGCAGTATTAAAATAACAGAAACAATGAACAGTAAACATCAAGTGAACAAGGAAGATCGAAACCGGAGAACGATTCCAAGAAAAAGAAATACGACTCTGGAGCCTGAATTTGACCGTAGCAAGAGCTGCGCCAGCACACTAAAGAGGGAACGAAATGAGCGCCTCCTTTGTTTAGGGCGAACGGCTGTGCTCACCGTTTTGATGGCTCCATGTCGAGGCCGTGGTGTCCATGTCGTGTTCGCCCGACCAGATGAGTGTTAGTCGTGGCCGCGGGACCCGTGCTTCGAAGGAGAAAAAGTGACCCTCTCGGGTCCTGGAGCTTCGGGCGCCGGCAGTCTTCAGACACTTTGCCAAAGTCTAGAGGCCACCGACATGTGTCGCCCCAGCCCTAGCTCCTTGCACCACGTCTGACTACGCGACAGAATTATGTGAACCATGTATCCCTGGAGACGTCGACAGTCCAATCAGAAGCCCCGTAAAGTTGCCGTCCAACCCGATCGGGCGTGGAACGCTTTGGTTTGGTTCGCGTTACAAATATGGAACAAAGGCATGAGCATGCGGGGTGTTTCTCTCCAAGGGAATACGGCACCACGGGCATGCCGCTGCAGCCATGGTCGATCTGGGATGAATTCGGTCTTCGGCACCCGGCACCTAGGCTTTTAGGCGAGCGAATTCTGCGTTAGAGGGAAACTAAATCACCGAGTAAGCGTCCTTCCCACTGACAGATCGTCAGGGGCTTGAAATAGACACATGGGGATTTGAATTGTGTTCGAAGAAAGCTATCATGGTGCGGTCCCTTGCGGCTAGCTCAATGCCAAGACATTAAAATGCGCCTGGTTTGTCGCCTTGTGCGGGCTGTCCCGACATCTTGCTGAAAGACGCGATGCCAAGGATTCTAGAGTTCATGGTAACTGCTGTCAGGGCGATCAGGGCGATCATCCAGCGTGGGGAACACGGGCGGGCACAGCCCCCGGACGGTAATCTCAAATTATGGACACGAGACGGCGTGGGGATTGCGCTGTTTTGTGTTGTTGGCCTTGGATCGCTTCGTCAAAGACATCGGCTCTGGAACCCTCGAGTCTTGGACCAAGTTGGACAGGTCAGGCAGAAAGTGCTGCGTTAGCCTGACGGGAAATCGGCTCGCTTGGGGCACACCTTATGATCTCGTAACCCGAAGAACGGCAACGTTGAGTAGATAAACATCGGATGGGCGGCGCTGATTCTGGTGCTGATTCATAGACTCATGGATGAATGGCGCGAGAATGAACGGACCTTTTGTGAACCTAACGAGAAATTCGCCGGGCGTTGGAGAATTCGGCCAGAGCTGAGGCCCGTGGAAGCTAGACGCTGACTGTGCCGCAAGATGATTAGGTAAGGTCAGATTTCCATCCCTTCCATCTCACGTGCTCAGCTTACCTGATTCGAGATATAGTGTCACGTGCTCTCACACCATTCTCAGTGCCCGAGGAACTCCCGCCGTTTGTAGTCCGTGCAGTCCAATTGCGCCAGGGAGGTCCGTCGGAGAATCTGCGGCACCGTCGGGAGTTGACATCATCCCAACTGCCATCATGAGCTTGACCTCGTTCAACACACCCTCAAATTGAATAAAAACGGCTAAAGTCATGGCGGAGACTCTGCTGGGACTGGAGGTCGCCTTCTATCTCTATCCCTGCGGCCTCTTTGTCACTTTACTGGCGGCGCAGTCCTTTCAATTCTACCGGGACCGTCATGGCGTCACGCGTCAGACCGCGACAGACGATGAGCAGAAGAAAGCTTCGCGACTGTACGCGCGGATAATCTGGGGCTTTCAGCTCATACTCTCTCTCTTACTCGTGAGTCTGGGAAACACGTCTACAGATCTTGAGTTGTCCTCAAAGCTCACACTTTTTTTTTTCCTAGCTTGCCACCATCATCCTTGCCGTTCACGGCGCTATTGCTGGCCAATACGATGGGACTGGCGAAGTCGTTTTCCCGTTCAGTGCTTATCTGGTGAGTGGGGTCTCCAGGTAGTACACCCCATCGAAGAACTCTGGTGTTGATACTTGCATAGGCATCCTACGTTGCCGTCTTATTGTACTATCTAGCCGGCCTACTTCCTGACCCTGAAGGCCCATGGACGCCAACATCGGCGCATTTCTATGCGTGGATTGTAGGTGCGCTCTTTGAGGCCTTCATCGCTGCCGTCTTTTCTTCTGAGAAGAACTCATTCCGCGTCCACCATGGTCTTCTCGATATTCTGGATATCGTGGCCGCTGTTCGAATCGTTGTGCTGGTAGCGATGATGGTCTGTCTCATTCTGAGAGACTACAAGCTGAAGCCCCTGCAACCCAAGTCGGACCCCGAAGAGAGACAGTCCCTTCTTGGGAATGGAAATGGAAACGGAAACGGAGCGTCTCATAACTACGGCGGCGCCCACCCCCACGGACCTGCTGCTCACAAGCCTCCTGCCAGAACCCAGGTCTCGGGTACGGGATGGCTTGACTACTTTGCTGGGTTCAGGGTTCTTTTCCCGTATCTATGGTATAGTGACCCTGCTTTCAACCGCTTCGCGGACTTTGCTAACTTATCGCGCGCCAGGCCTAAAGACTCTCCGGTATATCAAGGAATTGTGGTCGTTTGCATCATACTCCTGATCGGTCAGCGGACTATCAACGTTTTAGCGCCCATTCAGCTCGGAACTCTTGTCGACTCCCTCGGCTATGGCACCATTCCTTACAAACAAATTGTTCTCTATGTCGTCTACCGTGCTCTCCAAGGCAACCAGGGCATTCTCGGTGCCGCAAGGTCTGTCCTCTGGATCCCGGTCTCTCAGTCACTCTTCCGCAGACTCTCCTGCGCTGCTTTCGAACACGTGTTGGGGCTTTCTCTGGAGTTCCATCTGAACAAAAAGATTGGAGAGGTGACCAGTGCCCTGAGCCGCGGTTCTGCGATGAACACCTTCCTGGAGAACTTCTGCTTCCAAGTGTTCCCCATGGT